CTTAAATACCTGAAAACGCTTATAACTTCTTAAACTTCAAGCGGCAGTCGGAACCTAAAATAGCTCACAAAAAATGTAAATGACAGCTCATTGTTCCGACTTTCGATACAAAAGTAACGGAATATTTTTGCTCGGGTGGGTTTTTTTTTCTTCAGACATATTTCGACTTTTTAACTAGCCATTTTTGACGGATTTTTTTTTATATCATTCAAAAGGTATTGTTTTCCTCAGCTTAAATTTGAAAAAATGTTTCACCTGTGATCATTTTTCGTGAAGTTACGGGGGTTTGTAGATTGCCAATTCTTTTTTCATTTTATTATATTTAATTTTTTTTGTTACCACTGCTCCATAAACCTTAAAATGCAGTCGAAACATTCGGGTCTTCGCCCTGATAGAGCAGTCTTGTTTTCCATTGCTATGAAAATATGCGAAAAAATATTATTTAAAATTTTATGAAACTATTTGTTTTTTTTTCGGATTGAAAGCAAACTACAACACCCTAGTGCCTATCATTGAAGTTGAATAAGAGGTAAGATTATGGGTACCAAAACAACACGCGGTTCTTTTCCACTCCCCCGCCACATTAAAAAAATTTCCATCTTCTTATTTGTGTTACGTGTTATTATTTCAGGAAATATTTGGAGTCTTTCCTGTCATTGTTCCGACTTTCGATACGAAAGTAACGAAATATTTGTGCTCCAGGTGGTTTTTTTTCTTCAGACAAATTTCGACTTTTTAACTAGCCTTTTTTGACAACATTTTTAAATATCTTTCAAAAGGTATTGTTTTTCTGAGCCTAAATTTGAAAAGATATTTCACCTGTGATCATTTTTCGTAAAGTTATGAGGGTTTAAAGATTGCCATTTTGACCAATTTGGGACAATTAACAAGCGATATAATTCGCGCTATTAACGCGTAAGCGGAGATTTAATCCGTCCCAAAAATCGTTCCAAATTGGTTGAAAGAAGCTTATTTATCATAATTGATTTGTTACAAGGAGCGAAATTTATGCTTTTGTTCTTAATATGGCGTGTGAGGGGATGATTTTCATAAAATTTCAAATTAAAAAAAAAAATTTCATTTCATTTTATTTCATTTAGTTTTTTTATGTTATTACTGCTGCTCCATAAACCCTAGAAGGTAGTCGGAACATTCAGGGCTTCGCCCTGATACGAGCAGTCTTGTATAATTTTCTCGCCGTTATCATTTTTTAGCATGTTTTGGTCTTGCAATGATTTCTATCTGTAGATCTTTGCTAGTTAATTTTGCGTATCATTTTATTTTTTTATACTCATTACGCTTAATTAGCTCATTAACCCGATCAAATTATCTGTCTGTCTTTGATAAAGCGTGCTTTCCAAATTTATCAAGAATACAAAATTATGCTAATTATTGCGCGCTTTGTTATTTTTTCTTTATTTGTATAGCGTAAATGGCCTATTAATCCGCCCAAAAAACCCTAGTCAAATTTAAGCTCACTTTTTAGTTCAAGTATTGAGTTAAAACATCCAGATGAGACCAGTTGAAATATTATATTGCAGAAAATGATGAACGTGGACTCAAAACTGTTTCAGTCTTTCTCAGCCAAAATAATTTCTTATGAACTGGATTTATTTTTATCATTCAGACTGAAGCCTTATGATATAACCTGGAATTTGCCAGAAATTATTGTTTTAGGCCTTTAACTCAAATAACCCATAATTGGTCCCTTTTGTTGTAGCAATAATTAATTTTCGACAACATTAAAGGGGCAGATTGAACATCCAAGTCCTACATTGAATCAGTTAGGGTTGTTTCAACGCATCAGTAAAATTATCTACTCTCAGAGATGAAGCTTTTTTGAATATTATGTAAACTGGGTTTCTGCCCTCATTGTTAAATAAAAAAATTCGCCATATCTGTTAATGGTGCAAATATTCCTGCTTGTGAAACTCAGTGATTATTTTTTTTTGAAATTTCACAAAAAAATTTCAAGTATAAAACTTCTCTTAATCTGCAGAAGTTTTTTAAAAAACAGCCACGACTAGCAATTCAGTTTTCAAAAAATAGGACAACAACTGCAATCGCCGAGCAATTACTTGCCAAATCAAAAATCTACGAATTTCAGTAGCTGCTAAAAATCACAATCACACGTTCATTGGTCGTTTTAACGAAAATACATGTCTTTTTACTAAAAATTTGGTTTATATTGATAGTTTTTGAAGCACAACAAGTGAGATAAACTCAGCTACAAAAAACAGTAGGTATTGTTAACTTCATTCAATTTTCATAGACTGTCCACTGCAAGAAAAACTGATGCATCACGCGTCAATTGTCCCGAATTGTTGAAATATGATTTGAAATCTTGATAACTCTTCAAAAGCTTTAAATCAGAAGAAAAGCAGAAAATGAGCACAGTTAAAAAAATTTTAGTTTTCGACCTCGAAGCACCGACGGTTTCACATATTAAGAAAAAAATTCCCGCAAAAAGTCGAATTGGCCCGGAGAACAAAACCACCACGCAAACAAATATTCCGTCACTTTTTTTTAAAAGCTGAAACAATAAATGAACTAAAAAAACTAGAACGAATCGTAAATATAGCGGCTGGTAGCAGTGCTTGAGCATTTTATACTTTTTGGGAAATATTTGGAGTCCTTCCTGTTATTGTTCCGACTTTCGATACGAAAGTAACGAAATATTTGTGCTCCAGGTGGTTTTTTTCTTCAGACAAATTTCGACTTTTTAACTAGCCTTTTTTGACAGAATTTTTAAATATCTGTCAAAAGGTATTGTTTTCCTGAGCTTAAATTTGAAAAGATAATTCACCTGTGATCATTTTTCGTGAAGTTACGGGGGTTTGTAGATTGCCATTTTGGCCAATTTGGGACAATTACGCACGATATATTTCGCGCTATTAACGCTAAGCGGAGATTTAATCTGTCTTAGAAATCATTCCAAATTGGTTGAAAAAAGTTTATTAGCCATAATTGATTTGTTACAAGGAGCGAAATCTATTCTTTTGTAGTTCATTTGGCGTGTGGGGGGAAGATTTCATTAAGAAGTTTCAAATTTTAGAAAATTTTTTTTTTTCATTTTATTATATTTAATTTTTTTTGTTACCACTGCTCCATAAACCTTAAAATGCAGTCGGAACATTCGGGTCTTCGCCCTGATAGAGCAGTCTTGTTTCCCATTGCTTTGAAATTATGCGAAAAAGTATTATTTAAATTTTTATGAAACTATTTGTTTTTTTTTGGATTGAAAGCAAACTACAACACCCTAGTGCCTATCTTTGAAGTTGAATAAGAGGTAAGATTATGGGTACCAAAACAACACGCGGTTCTTTTCCACTCTCCCGCCACATTAAAAAAATTTCCATCTTCTTAGTTGTGTTACGTGTTATTATGGCTTAATGCATGATCTTACGATGTAAAGTATGAAGAAGAATTTGTTCACAATATATAGTTTGTTCATCATACAAAATTTCATTAATTATGACAACGTGGAGACAATTTTTCTAAAACTGAAAATCAAATGTGAGTGGAACGAGGAAAATAGCCCACCTCGCAACTTGTAGCGAAAGACAACTTGCAAGAATTAAGGAAAATAATCAGCCGCAAGGTTTGAATAATAAAACAAAATTTATAAATTTTGGATTAAGATAACCGGTGGGCGCGTTACGCGGCAATAACTTGTTCTAAATTTTCTACCAATTTCTACTTTCTGTTGATATTGATTATATTGTGGTGGCGAGTATATTGTGCGAGTATATCTTTTATGCGAGTTTTTTTGTTACGAGTTTTTGTGGCTTTTCTTCATCCCCCCCTGATTTTTTCTAATAAATGAAATTCCATTTAAAAATTTTTTCTCATTTTAAATGGCATCAAAACGTGTCAGCGTGAACAGGTGAACAAATTTTCACAAGATTTGCTGGCTCTTTTCCAGTCCCCCCCCTTTCAAATTCAATTTTGAAAAGCTTATTTAACGTTGTTATAATGCAATGAAGTTTGGCGTGGTGAACAAATCGACAACTGTGAACAGATTTGTTCTTCATACTTTACAGCGTAACATCACGCATTTAGCCGTGATAACACGTAAAACAAACATAAAACTCGGTATTTTGAAAGGGGGGACTGGAAAAGAGCCGATTTGCTATATGCAAAATGCCATGTGAACATTTTTTGAACAGCCTAATTTTGTAATTTTACGAGGGGGGTGGGAAACTGGAAAAGAGCCGTTGTTGTTTTACGGAGGGTGTGGCGGTAATGCAAGATGTCTATTGTTGCAAGTTGTTTTTTTTAACGAGTTGTCGTATACTACCGATGTTGTAGTGTTGTCTTATGGGTGCAGGGTCAAATCGCATGCGAGCGCTTCAAAACAGCCATAAAATAATGGTTTCATGATTAAAAGAGCTCCAGTTCAGTTTTAAATAATTAACCTACTATTTAGGCCTCTGGCTGGTTTAATTTTTAAAATGTAAAATATGACTGACTGCAGAGAAAACTCAATTTTTGAACGAGATTTGACTTTGGTACAATCAATTACCTTCTATATTGATCTTGTATTTGGTTCCTTGGAAATCAACCGGCTCCAACCAGACTCATTTTAACCGGACACATATTTTTTCATTTATTATAACACGATTCTTTCCTGGCAAATTTTGCTTTTAAGTTATTAATTCCAGGTGATTTCTTGCGTGCATTTTGCCCCGACGCATTTAAATTTACATAATATGAAGTTGTAAGCGGCGTCCCATACCAGGTCAACTTATAGGTTGTAGGGCGAAAACTATAAAGACGTACGGTTGTTTTTTTTTTTTGCCAAAATATTTCATTAAAATCAAGTTAGGCAAAACTTACACGATGCGAATATTGAAACTATTCAAATTTTGCATATGTTATCAGCAGTTCTTACAAGGTAAAAATGTATCGTGTAACTATGTTTTTGCAATAATTTCACATACGTTTGAAGTTTTAGAAAGGTGGTAAGTTTGTTCTTGTTAATTTTACACGCTACTTACCAGCAACAGGGAGAATGCCTACAGCCCAAGCGGCAAAGATTCCTCCAAAAAGGTACTTTTTACCCCCTGTAGAGAAGGGGTACTGCAGGGGCCAATTAATGAACAGAAATCTGAAACAGATCAAAGCAACTTTATAAAAAGAGAGATCATACTTGCGTCACAACGAACTCGACACGATAGTAGTTGCGTATCGATACTATCTATGTTTTCGAAAGATTCCCTTTTCCGAACTTTTACACGATCCATTTTTGATTGAGCGGATTAAAAATTAAATATGACGCACGTTCGAGTTTGACGAAATAAAAAAAATTAAACATGAAGGCCCAAAAGTTCACTAAAAATATAATTATCTTTTTGTCAAATAACTCTTGTAAGCTTGTATAAGCCAGTGATATGAACGCATTATAGATAAAATGGAGAAAAATTGTGAGGAAAAACAACATTACGATGAACTGAAACATACCATAAATCGATAATTCCGTTATATTGTTTTGAGACAAATCAATGTAATAAATATTCATTCAAGCAATGCAACTTCAAGATTTTAATTGGTAAAAATCCGACGCTGCTTAAGATTGTAGCAAAAATGTTTCTTAAAAAATGAAAGGAAAAACTTTTTATTTTTAATGACTTATCAAAGAGAAAACAATTCAAGTTTCACTTCAAGACCACAATTCGAACACCCCGCTTTCATTCTAGTTGCCAAACTTTTTCAAAAGTTTCCCTTTTTTCACTATTTTAGGGTAATCATTTCCGGCTGCTTAATCCTAAAAACTTTTTTAAGGCTCATTTGGCGAAAATATGGAATAAGTTTTGTGACCCAAAAAAAAACCCAATTTTGGTCAAAATCTAGTTCCAAAAAACTGTTGAACACGGTATTTTATTAACTTAAATTTTTAAATCAACACCATTTACCAAATTTTGACACTTGAGATTTCTACAGGATTGAAAACCGACAAAAAAAGTGTACCAAGTTTTGTTGTCATCACTGGGCGGAACATCGAATTATCCATACTTGTTCTAACTTTCGAAGAAAAAGCTGAATATCTACGCTTGGGGTGGTTTTTTTATTAAGTCAATTTTCGGTTTTTTAATTATGCATTTTGACGGAAACTTTTTTACCATCAGAAAGATAATGTCGTCTGGAGCTCAATCGTGAAAACTTTCACCTGTGATAATTTATTGAAAAGTTATGTGCTTTGAAAAAAGCTATTTGCTCAATTTGGGATAACTAACGCGCAATATGTTGCAATCTTTTAAAATTTTAACGGCGGATCAATGCGTTCCATTTTGACTGGATAATATCATTGTTCCGACATTCGATACAAAAGTAACGGAATATTTGTGCTCGGGGTGGGTTTTTTTTTCTTCAGATAAATTTCGACTTCTTAACTAGCCATTTTTGACGTAATTTTTTAATATCATTCGAAAGCTATTGTTGTCCTGAGCTCAAATTTGAAAAGATATTTCACCTGTGATCATTTTTTGTAAAATTATGGGGGTTTAAAGATTGCCATTTTGGCCAATTTGGGACAATTAACGCACGATATATTTCGCTTCGCGCTATTAACGCGTAAGCGGGGATTTAATCCGTCTTAAAATCGTTCCAAATTGGTTGAAAGAAGCTTATTTGCCATAATTGATTTGTTACAAGGAGCAAAATCTATCCTTTTCTACTTTATATGGCGTGTGGGAAGATGATTTTCATAAAAAAAATTCAAATTTTAGAAAAAAAAATCGTTTTATTTTTATTACATTTAATTTTTTGATTTTATTACTGCTCCATAAAACCTTAAACGGCAGTCGGAACATTCAGGGCTTCGCCCTGATACGAGCAGTCTTGTTTGATTTTATTAGCATAAGGGACGCTCAATACATCCAAAGTTGCATCTTCATTAGCATGTGGGGGATAAATTTCAGGAAAATGAAGCAGACTGTTACAAAAACTGTTACGTGTTCTGAACTAAACAAATTGCGCTAAAACAAAACTTATTTTGTACCGAGTTTTAGCTATTTGCAAGCTGTGATATGATAAATGGAAATGAATTTGTTTTAATTAGTAAGATTACCATAATTTCTAAAAACTTTGAAACCAGAAAATCATTGAGTTTGATACAACTAGCGAGAAACAAGTGTTTTGAAAATAAAAATTAAGTAGTTGATTTTAAATTTACTCATCTTTCAGGGCATAATATCTCTGCATTTTATAAAAAAATACTTTTGATTTTATTTTTCTTTGATTCAGAGGGCATTGAACATCCACTTCTATATGACAGTAAATTTCTCGTTTTCGCTTTCAAATGCGTTTGGTCATCATTTTAGACATTTATACATTATTACCTTGAAAAAACAGTAAAAAAATGATAAATTGAAATCTGAAAAAAGGCGGAATTTTTGTGGTCTCATTGATGTTTCTTCTCAAGTCAAATATTGTCTTTTTTAACTGACATTTATTCTCGAAATTCTGAAATGCAATGCAAAAAACGTAAATGCTTGAACTCAAAAGTGCAATTATTTTAACTTGCGACAAAATTTGTTAAGTTACAGAGTCTATGAAATTGCCGACTCGGTTAATTTGGATAATTAGATTGAGCATTTTTTTTTCATCCGTGACGTCGGCGGCAAGTTATTTTGGTTTAAAAAAATTTGCAATTTGGTTTGAGGCTAGTTAATTAATACAAACCTTGAGCGTGAATAGACTCAAAGTTTATGACTTCATAATTGACATTGGGTGACTTTTTGTTATATTTTTTTCTATTCATCTTCGATCTTTTTTAAAAATAGAAATTATATCGTTTGTGTTGCCAAAAGATAAATTGAAGCAACAAACGGCAGTAAAAAAAACATAAAAATCAGGATTATACGAGCAATACGTGTTGCCCAATTTTCAATAAATAGCGTTCGACGTATTGTGTGCTTGTAACCCGCGTAACCGTCTAAAAAAATTCTTTCGAACAGAATTGAGACCACCAATTTGGCTTTATTGTTCCAAGACGAGACGCTATATACACCCCTTTGTGTTTTAAATAGCTTTAAGCGTGACACAAATCATTCATTTTTATTAATTTTTTCCATTCTTTTTTGATTACTTATAATTGAGTGATATTTGAAAGCTGCCGTTTCAGATGCGAAAAATAGAAGAAGTTTTCTCAATTTAGCTATCATGTGAACAGATGTTTTAGCTTCAGTCAAGATATTTTTAAATCACTTTTTGTTAAAAAAGGCGCTAAAAATCAATCATTAAAATTGAAAAGTTTTAGTTAATAAATTATTAATAAGCTTGGCTTTATTACGCCGGCCTTTAATTTTTGAACAATTATAGAAAACGCGTTCTGAATTTTTCATTACTCGTATTTTGTGGAAGCAGCACATTTTGCGAAAATTAGTAGATACGAAGGAGTGTCTATAAAATTGCGTCGTACTTAAGTGCAAAAATGAACATACAAGTGTTATTTATTGATTGGACTTTAGCAGGTGGTTGTTTTTAACAAAATGTGATTGGAATTTTTATAAAAAAGAAAATTTTACGCAGTAATAGACAGCTTGATTATTTCATAACTATTGTGGACTTTTTGAATGAGGGAGGGGTTCAACATTGCCAAAGGTGACAAAAAAAAAGAAAAAAATAATAAATTTTGGCAAAATCGGTAAACTCTTGCGGTAGGTATTGCTTGGAAAATTTTTAATGTTTTTGCCGGTACAAAACAAAAGGAAAAAAAAGGAGCAAGAAGATTATGCTGTTTCTTCCTCAACGTTTTCAATAAAATGCGTGAAATTCAACTATAAAAAAAAATTTCGAGTATTTTTTGCCATACACGATTTCTCAACGCAAGGGTTCACTTGACTAGCCTAATTACATGTCGACAAGCAGAATGAACGAAATTATTCAAAATTGTGCTGTGCAACATGTTTGCTGTTTAGATCTCCCGTAAATATTACAAAAATGAGACCCCAAGGAATCTTATCAGATCATAAAATTTCCATAGTAGTGTGCACAAATATTGCGGATTTTGTTGCGGATTCCGAAAAAAAAACTGCTGTTTTGGAGCAATTTTGAGTGGTACAGTGTTTTAGCTATTTGCTCACGAAATCCAAATCAGCAAAGAAGATCAATGAAAACTGGCAAAAAGATGCGGATTCCGCGACAAATTTGTTTGCGGCCTGTTGCGGAACCCGCTTACAATTCTCAAAAAACACAATTTGCCCACGTAATGTACATTTTTAAGAGACAGTTTTGTACCTATCAATGGCTACCAGCAGCATATGAGAGAGTTGGCACGATAACAGCACGTTCTGAAGTAGATCCAAGTTGCATACCCAGGGCTCGATAGGCAGCACCTGAAATAATCACTGCATCATAGAAATCCAATTATGGTCCTAAAGGCAAAGCTATTGAACCTTGAAAATAATTGTTCAGTTTGCACTAAAGGTTTGTTTCAGTCAAAACTCATCATGCTCAAAACAAGTCCAGCATCGTACGATTTTTAATTTTTATGCTTATTCAATTTTGAAGTAATATTCAAACACATCGAAAGCAATTCATATCTGCCAATATAAATATTGGTCGATTTTTTAATCATCTGGACACATTTTCAAAATGTGGAACCGAGCCTCCCACAGCTCTTTCCCAGACAAAATTGATAAAATATTCTTATGAAAAAGTTTAAATATCCGAAAAAGTACCGTTTTCTTATGCTTAGAACATGTTTTATTCGTAAAAGACTTAAAGATGCCAGTCTCTACTCGCTTCAATTTTCCTCTAAATATCTGAGTTATAAATGATTCCCATATCAAGACGGAGCCCTGAATGTTCCGACTGCCCTTTGAGTCGGAACAAAGGGGAAAAGAAGTTTTTGATGATAAAATTAAAAGATTTAATTGAAAAAAAAAAACACATAAATGTCCGAAATTGACGATTTTCAAACCGACATAACTTTGCAAAACAGTCGCTGAGGAAATACCTGTCTACTTTTCAGCTCAACGCATCAATGTTTTTCAGATTTTCCTAAAAAAAGTCCGTAAAAGTTGCCAGATAAATGTCAAAAATAGTCTGGCGAAAAAAAACAACCATCATGAGCACAATTATGTCATCTTTTACTTCAAAAGTCGGAATTGAAACTTGAAAACGTCAAGTCATCTAATTAAATTTTGGAGTACTTGATTAATTAAATTTTGGAATCCACTTTTGTAGTAGCTTACATGAATGTTGAAAATTATGAAAGCGTCCTTCGGGACCCTGTAGACTGTTTCGTACAGTAGGAAAGTGACGTCACTGACACTGAGACTGCACACAAGTAGGTTGTGAGGCTGTCTTAGATAGGCGAACTTGTACACACACATCATCACAATGCAGCCGCTGAATATACCGAAGCACTGAAACAAACTTTCTTTAAGAAATATTTAATTTCTACAATTCTGTGTTTGATGGCAATAACTTCTTAAAAGACAGAAAACTGATTTTTTTGTTTTTTTTTCAGCATAGATTTTTTTTCAGCATTGTTTTTTTTCAGCATTTTTTTAAATGGGTTTTTATACGTTTTAGGCGCAAACATGACTCGAATAGTAACAAAATGATTTGACGCCATTTAGAAGCAGCACGCAGAAGAGTTTTTGAAATTTTTAACTCAAATTAATACTTTTTATTAATTTTTATGGAAATAAGGAACATATTTTTATTGATCAAAAGTTGGATAACATCGGAACTAGCTGAAATGGAACCGGTATTTGGAATTTGACACAGGAGCTTAAAAGAGATATCATCAGTTGAGTGTTGTTGACTCGTACCATGTGATGGCCACACAGATAAACCAGTTTTTTTTTCATGCTAGGTCTCCGGATATAGTTTTTCATGCTATCCGATTAAAAGTTTATTATTTGCTAATTTTTGGCATAGTAGTAGTAGTAGTAAAAGACTTGAATTCACAGTTAAGGAAGTACAATAGATACGGAATGTATAGATCAAAGAATATAACAATACAGAACAAAATACTAGCAAATTATGATCGGCAATTTAAACAAAAACAAATAATAAAGAAATTACAAGAATTGTTTAGGTTTAAAGAAGTTCGTTTTTGAACCAGATAATTTTTAAGGTTTCTTGAGAAAATGGGTAGGGAGATTCAAAGTTTAAGTTATTCTGTTTTATAAGTTCGTTTGCAGTACGGACAGCCCTGATGAACAAGTTGTTGTCAGAATTGAATCGTCTTGTATAATTAAATGCAAACTGATTTGTACTAGCAGAATGAGTAGAAATTGTGGACTTAATCAATTCCAATTTAACCGTGATGTCGACTTTTTTGTGCCAACTTTTCCATATAAAAATGACATCAGTACGAATAAGTTCGCAGCAGGTAGGAAGCATGTTGAGCATCTGTAGGCATTTGTTGTAGTCATTAGAATTCGACACCCATTTAAGCAGATAGGAATCATGTTGAGCATCTGTAGGCATTTGTCATAGTCCTTCGAATTTGACAACCATATAGCTTGATAATTTTTGTTAACTGATTTTGACTTCTTAAAAGTAACAAAGTTTTAGTGCAATTTTCCGTTTTTATCATATATTGATGACTTACCCCCATTTTATAGCTTAAAAATTCTTTGTTGAAATAAAAATCTCACTTTATTGTAAATTACACATCTATTTTATTTCTTTTTTGAAATATGTTTTCACCCAAAAATATTTATGTGGTCGGAACAATCAGTGCTGCTTCTAGCAATTACCGGCTTTCCTGATAGTTCAAAATACACTATTAATAGTTTTACCTGTAAAACCAGCCGTATGAAGATGAAAACAAATTTGATGGAGTCCTTTGCTTCAAGGCCATCGCCATCGCCATCTCCCCTCTCAATTTCCTCGCTGACATTTGTCACATTCAAAATAAAGTTTTCGAAAGCCATTTCGCTTTGCTCGTATGAAATCCAATTCGAGACGAATTGAAGAATCAATCAAATAATAGGTGATGTTGATGATAATTTTATAGTCAATATTTTGAGTCTGCAATTAAGTTCAAGTCTATAAATGAAAAAAAATGTATTTTTGTCGAGTCTATATTAGTCTCAATTTAGTTCAAGTCAAAAATTGGAAAACAAATTAAAACTTTGAAGTTTTGGTGAAGCAAGTAAAAAAAATAAATAAAATATGTGAATGTGGTATTTAAAGAATGAAATTTTAAAACTTTTGTTTTCAGAATCCGTCAGAATTTTTTGAGGCTGGGAACAAAACCGGGAAACAGTCAAAAAAGTGCTGCTTTTTAAGAACTAAATGTTGTCGGATGACCCACGTGATAGGTTACAGACGGTAACTAAGGGTGCGATTTGTGGCTTTATTGTGTAAAACAAAAGTTTCAACTAAGTAGCTAAGTAAGAATTTTCTTTGTACATGTATAAATAATTAATTTATCAGATACTTTTCCCCTCGGCTGAAAAATAAGGAAACTTTTTCGACGCTCTGAAACTCGGGTAAGGATGTTTACTGATTTATTTTGATTTCCGAATATTTTTTACGTCACAGTTTTCTGAATGTGACAAAATATGGGTGAAAAAAATGAATAACAAGCCAATAGACAAAGGTAGAAAATAAAACCATATTAAATAAAAAGTGCGCACCGAATGATGGTATTTGATATTTTCATTCAAGAATGAACAATTTAAAAGTACCCTTAATGACATTGTGAAAAAGGCGAATAAAAAAGGAGGAAATAATCGGTGAAAAATAATTGAAAAATTATAATCAGAATTAGATAAAATTCTCGATGTCCTGTTCTTGGCATAGATTATAATAGTTGTTGAAACGGAATAGAAAAAATAACGAATTGTTTTCCCGTCGCGTCCTTGGATTTGATTAAATAAATGCTGGGCAGTTTTAAAACCTACGCTACTAATGCAGTCGCCGCAAGTAAAGGCACACGCGGGGAGGCATAATTGAAGTGAGCTTTAAAGGTCGCTGACGGGAAAATTTTGCCGAGACTAAATTAATTTTATTTGCTGCAGTGATTAAGAGAAAGAACTAGTCACATTCTTCTCCATTCCAATGTATCTCGAATCATTTAAACACGCTGAGCTAAATTTGGGTCTTGATATATTTTTTTTAATTAAGGGGCTCTAGATTGATAATTATGTCCCTAAAATATAAAATCAAGTTCAAAAAAGAGTCTGATTCATTTTTTCAGTCTTAAGTTTACGTAATACAGATTTAGATCAAAACGCATCTCCTTTTTGATACCCAAGTTTCACTATTATAACTAGTTAAGTTGTAACTTATCAGAAAAATCTGCCTAAATCTGTTTTTATGGCGTTTAATCAGGGATTAGGAAGTAATTCATGTAATTTTTGATTTCAGTGTATTAAAATTGAACTCAATTTTTGTGAACTTGTCCCTTGTTTAAACAAAAATCCGGTTGTTCAGGTTGTTCGAGCGTTTGACAATTCCATTTACTCGCCAGTCTGATTTTGGCTGGTTAATGCCATACATAAGCAAAAAAAAAACCAAGTTGCCCCACCCCAAAATGGTCATCAGAGTTTTTACTAAACTGAAGGAAAAAGAATGCAAATCAATCGGAGGCAATTTTTGATCTTTTTTGATCTCTTATTTGCATAAAAGGAACAGATTTAGATTCATAAGCTGTTGCTCTTTTCTCGATATGTAAATAAGAATTTGACCGAGAGCTTAAAACAAATAAAAAAGCATTCGAAGATAACCTTTGAATTAATTAAAAATCTGCGCGCTTGCGTATGTTTAGAAAATTGGCACAGAACGGTATGAACAAACTATCTAAAAAAAAAAAAATTTTCTCAAAAAAGCTAACAAGACTACAAGAAAAGTCTCAAAAAAATCAACGGGAGTTAGATTAAGTCCGCTTTATCTCCTAAGAAATGTAAATCCAAAGGGCCTACAAGTATTTCAAAAAAGCAGTTTGTCACTTTAAGCGGGTTTTTCAAACTAAGATACGTCAATCAACCGACTGTGTCTAGCGCCACTAATTGTGTATGCCAAGCAATGGAAGAAAAAAACCAAACAAAAGAGCCCTTCAAGACTGTCTTGGAATACAATGGACTAAGAGCGGTGATATTTCAAAGTCACCTCTGAGGGTCTAAAAAGGCGAAGATTAAAACTACAAAGCCATCAGGACTCCAGCAGCTTACTTTAATCAAGTAATTTATCCTAATTTTTCTTCTTTGAAAAATTCGACAAGTAGTTTTTTTTCGGTTATAAGGTTAAAAAACTGACTCTTTCATGTTTTGAAAATTGGATAATAATGCTTCGATTGATTGAAACTAAATTCAGCAAAAAAAAATAGATATTATAAAACAAAGCTTAATTTTTGGCCGTTAACAGAAAAAACCCAAAAATTGAATTTGCGTTTCTAAGACATCTGAGTTGTCAATTTTTGGCTTGTCTGTTTCAATTTTTTCATTTGCTCGCCTTTGGAGAAAAATATTTGCACTTTCGCCAAAAAAATTCAATTTTGTTGAATTTCACGATTCAATTTTGTTGTTGAATTTTTGGGACTGATTATATTTTAAAAATAAACAAAAAGGCCATTAATCTGCTCGAAATTATGCAGTTGAAGAAACGCTGACGAAAATTAAAAATTGACCAAAATATATGAATGAAGATTATTAAGCAAAATACGATGAAATTTCGGAAGTTCCTGCATATAATCAATTGCAAACGGCAGTGCTTTTTACATTTCAGCCAAAGTTTCATTCAAATTTTTCAACGCCGCATTAAAAGCGAAAACTTTCAGGAGCGTGCAGCACCTAAACTCATGACAGAGCAAGGGCTTTGCCAGAAGATTAATTTATTAACCAATATCAGGTCTATTTTTGAGCTAAATTATAAACTTCAGGAATATAGTGGTAGGAAAAAACCAGTTTGGAACGAGACGGCAATATTATTTGCTCCGATTTTCGAAGAAAACGGAATATTTATGCTCGGTGTGGTTTTTTATTCTGTCAATTTTCACCGATGGAAATAATAATTTTCAACAAAAACTTTTTTCTCCTTTGAAGATATCAACTTCCTGACTTCAAATGTAAAAAGATATTTCACCTCCGATTATTTTTTGTTATTATATTACACTAGCCATTGTACTAATTTAATTTCCTAGCTTGCTCAATATTTCGCAGGTCAAAATCTTTGTATCCCGAATACCACAAACAGAGGTGAAATTAACTACTGTAACACAATAACTAGGCCTAAGGAAAAAGCGCCCTCCATCTGGTGGTAAAGATGATCCAAACAAGATTAGCAGTCTTCAAAACGCGATTTGAATTGGCATGCTTCTTTTAAGAAGGGACATACTCCATACGCCATTTGTGTAGATGTGTTCTTTTACAAATTAATATCGGTGACAGAAGCTTTCATCAGCGGTTAGCGACCAAAAACTTAGCGAGCATTCTCCCAACAGCAAATTGTTACTGCCCCAGAAGTCATTCGAATCGGCACCAATAAGCCTTTTCGAACAGAAACTTTTTGAACGATCCACCAAAGATAAAGTGGTTACCAGCAACTCGCCGAAAACCAATGGCGACTTAAAACACCCGCTGGTATATGCGCAAAGAACGGAAAGAGTGTTTTTTTTTTTAAGTTTTACCTGAAGTACTGACAAGGAAAGAGCCTGCTAGTTCGAAAAACGTGATTTTTTTTTACTCCGCTCCAGCGAAACTGGTCGCCAACTACACAAAACTTGGCCTGTTGCGGCGGCCAAGAACTCCCTGGAATGACACAAGAGCCAGTGTGCACAGATGAATCATATTTGATGTCCTCCGCACGGTTAAAAATGCAGTTGAACAAAAAAGACCACTTCTTTTAACTGATGAACCACAAAGCTAAGAGGAAAAGACAAAAATTAAAAAAAAAAAGTTATATCCACAACGACTGAGTGAGTGTTGGCGGCAACCAAATTGTTCGATAAGAACGTTTGACATCAACTGTTTGACATACATTTCCTGCAAACGACAAAAAAAACTCTCAATGACAAGGAAGATTGTTCATCGAACAAGAAAACTCGTGTACATTGGAACTGTAAGAATCAGAGTATTCAAGTTTATCGATCAAGTGCAAAAGTAATTGTAGTTGCTAATTTTTGCGGTTTTAACAAGTAATTTTACCAACAAATAAAGGTACTAAAAATGTTGGTTGCTCAGATGGGAAGTTTAATCCCGCTAGCCGTTGAAATCATCACAAAAAACAAATAAGGCCGCTGAAGCCGATTAAGAGAGAGCAGTCTGCAGCGAGTTTAGACATTCTTACAGTTTTACTAGATTAACAACCGGTGAACTTTATCAACAGCGATTCAAATTCATTTTTCCAAAATGCTAATTTGGTCAAATAGGTAATTTGAGACATTTTCCTGTGAAGTTACTTGTGTTTCGGCCTTGATCTCAAAATAAAGCAAAAAATATATCACCTTTCAGTTAAACTATGGTTCTCTTCCCAAATAACAACAAGATCGGTAAGCTTCGAAGAAATCGTTCGAGCAATTCCTGGTTATCTATGTTGTCATCCAAAACTCAAACGAATATATGCAAATTTTTTTGTAGCATTATCCATATTTGGACTTCTGGAGTAATCACAAAAAAAGTATTTACTTTTTCTCTACACATCAACAGAAACAATAATCTAAACAGACATTATTTAACGCGGCTCTGATAGCTTCGGGAAAGTTTTTTGCATTGTAAGGTCCCTGTTTTTTTTGATGGATTACAAAATTTACACATGGTGGTGAGTTCTGGAAATCGAAAAGCTGACGGGTTTTCTGAAAAATTCCGCATTTGAACCCTTTATTTTTAACCCACGATTAAACCACAAATTGCTGATTGCAGGAAGAGAAATCAAAATTTGAGAAAGTTTCCTGGAATTTTTTGATGAAAGTAAAATGATGTCGACCAGAGAGGTTGCAACTTTGAAGCTACATTTTAAAGGCAACTAACCTTGTTTTGCTTTTTCGGGTTTAATTCGGGTAAATATTTAAGAAAAAATTTCACCCATGAAAGCAAGAGTCTAGTTTTCTAGGTATAATTGGCTAAGCCGTGAATTTGTCCTTTCAATGAATATTTCACTTAGGCCGATTAGCAGCATAATAGATCCAAAAACATACACGGGAAATCATTTTAAATTGAATGAGTTGCTGATTTGAAATGTGAAATGTTTGCCAGGAAAAATGCTTTTTTCTAGCAGTAAACTCAATATATTGCCAATTTTTTAAAAAAGATTCGTGAAACTGTTATACTTATCCTAAGCAATATTAGCCACGGATCTTCTGTACTGCTCGCGAAAGAACTGTACTGCTCGTGACCTCTTGATTTGGGTCCCCTTCATCTCTTAAATTGCATCCGGTATGGGGAAATTTATATAACAGTGCTGCTGAGATAAGATTTTTAAAGTTTTTTGATATTTTTTTTTATAATAATCGTGTAAAACCAGCATGAAGACTCTAGCTCATAGGCTGATAGATTTGGCTTAACTGCTCTTATAATCCTAATTGGTAGTAAGTAAAACCTGTAGTCAGCAGAATTGCTCGTATCAGGCAAAATCTAAAAATGGTGTCTGCCTTTTATCTCATCAAACTCAGTTTCTGGTAATGAAAATGTTTTTTGAAGAAAAAAAACGTGGACTAGCAACATTTCGTGAAGACCAACCAACTCAACCGCCTCAAAACATATCGGATTAGCCTCTGAATTGGATTAATTTGCGGCTACAGAAGTTGAAATTCATCCCAATGGGATAGTTTTCATTGGGATTTTAATTGCGTTCTGCACTATTTTCAAAATATATATATATATATATATATATATATATATATATATATATATATATATATATATATACCCGCATCTAGTTTGAAGCGTTAATAATCAATCATATTACGATTTTAGCACCAGTCTTACTAAAATTGAGAAACAATCAATTTTAATCAATTAATAGTCGATTATAATCTCTCTTTTTAAAAATATTAACCCATAAGATATAATTTGAATATAGTTTTGAATTGACAAAGTTTTGGCAAAATAAGAGATTATAATCGATTATAATCGATTATAATTGATTTTAAGGGTTTTTTGTAAGAACTATAATCAATTATAATCGATTATACGAGATTATAATCTCTTGGAAAATATCACGATTATAATCAATTATAAGTCCTCTAAACACCTAATTTTGGTAATTATAATCAATTATAATTGTCAAAAAATCATCATAATAATCCGTTATAATCAATTACTTACGCCTAAACTTGGATGCGGGTAGTAATAATTATAATTTGAAAAAAAATTGCAGAACGCAATCAAAATTTGAACTAGGGCCTACTTCAAAATTGCAGATCCCTTGTTGCGATTTTTGCGCAACAGAAGTTCCATACTACCGCTTGAACTCTAAGTCGCACAAAGTCGCAAATTAGCTATAGCTTAAAATGCGTCACTTAAAGTCGCAGCACGGGTCGCGCAATTTCGAAGTATGTTACTTAAACTTCATGATACTTTGGGCGTAAACATAGGTCGCCAGTGCAACTTTAAAGAACAGTCGAGTCCAACTGCGCCTCACCCTGACTATGAGCAGCTTTTAAATTGTCTTCCGTTTGAAAGGGATTAAACTTCAAAAAAAATATGTTAATTTTGAAATTGTTAAACGTTTACAGTTTCAAAATTGATTGAAACTTGAAACTGTTCCTTAA